TCTGAGGCTCTACTCACAGTTCAGACAGCAGAAACCAAAAAAATCTCACTTCCAATTCCAAGTCCTAGTGACTGTAGGGTTGAGCAGAACCACCACCGTGGCTTTCTGAGATGGTAACTCTGCAGGAGTAGAAAGCCTCATCTTTCTCCCATGGAGTGGCTGGTGGTTTTGAATTGCTGGCCTTGTGGTTAATAGCCCAATGAGTAACCACTATGTTACCAGGGCTCTTGGACAGAAGAAAAGAGTTGAAAGGGTAAAAATCTTCCTAAATTCTTCTTTAAAAAATGTTCTTTCAGCTCTTGACATAGGGAATCCAGGGCAGATAAACCCCTCAGGAACAGTAATGGGAGCAGTGATACCATGAGGGTAGGGGAAGGTGGGGGAGAAGGGGAAGAAAGGGGGAACTGATCACAATGATCAACATATAACATCCCCCCACCCAAGGGGGACAAACAACAGAAAGGTGGGTGAAGGGAGATGGTGGATGGTGTAAGAAATGAAAATAATAATAATTTATAATGTATCAAGGGTCATGAGGGTGGGGGATGGAGGGAAAAACAAGGAGCTGATACCCAGGGCTCAAGTAGAAAGAAAATGTTTTGAAAATGATGATGACAACATATGTACAAATGTGCTTGACACAATGGATGAATGTATGGATTGTTTTAAGAGCTGTAAGAGCCCAGTAAAATTATATATATATATATATATAAATTCTTTTATGATGGTAAAATATATGTGACAAAACACTGGCTTTCCATCATTTTCACTTGTACAATTAAATGACATTAATTACGTTCGCCATGGTGGTATAACACTGTTTCCAAATATTTTCATCACCCTTAACAGAAACTCAGCCACGTCAAGCAACAACTGCCTATTTCCCATCCCATCTGCTCCTGGTAACTACTGATGTACTTCAATTTGTGCATTTGCTAACTTAGATATTTCATAGATGTGGGGGTCATATGATATTTTTCTCTCTCTCTCTCTCTTTTTTTTTTGGTCTAATTTTTATTACACGAAGTCAAGTTCTTCTGAAGCAACCTTCCAGAAATTCCACATACTTCCCCATACAGCCCATTTGTCTGAACACAATCACATGACCACATGTGTGCAAGAGATCCTGGGAAATGGAGTCTTTTGGTTGGGTGCATTGCTGTCTAAGAACGGATATCATTAAATAGCAATTAGCAATTTGTCACACAGGGTCACCTGAAACCAAATGCAATGTTAATCCTCTTCGAGATAGAGTTTAAAGTGGTGACAGCTAAGCGACCAGCTCTTGTGATTGGCTCAAGTAAAATAAGTGAATCGGTCCACTTGCTTGTCTAATAAATGAGCCTGTGTGGCTGCAGACTCTGCATGCCGGGGACTGTGTTAAGCAGTGGAGATTGGGTAGTGAGCTGAAACAGACAGCCTCTGTCCCGATGGAGTGTACTGGGCTCCCCTCACCCTCAAGGTCATGTCATTACACACTGTGGGTCCGTTGTCTTTGGGGAGCCTTGTAAGATGGTCAGACTTTGTGGACTCAGCTCGGGAGAGGAAGCCATCTGGCTTAGAGTTCTTCTGGACATGCCCCCTTAAACGGGGAGGTTAAACTGCAAGGGTGGCTGGACTTTTACATCCCTTGGCTAGCTCCTGGCGCTGGGAGAACATTCCATGCTCCAGGCTCACTCTCAGCCAATTGGGAAGCCATGCCCCACTCTCCTGGCCAGGGCCAAGGGTTGAACAATCGCTCTGGGGTTTTTGAAGCTCAAAAGCCATCAATCTGAAAGGGCCAGTGTGTTCCAATTGGAAATTCCATATTGCAGTGCGCTAGGACTTTTCCTTCGATTGTCTATAGTCCTTTCTGATCTGCCATTTGAATGAGGAATCAAAATAAAGAATTCTTTACATCGCCTGTATGTAGGCCTCATCAGCTAACATGCAGCTTGACCTTGGAATATTGATACAAGAAAAGTTTTCTTTCTTTTTTTTAAAGCACGGCATTTTTCTGCTAGCATTTTGCAGAACCCAGATTTTGTCTTTGCCCTTCTGGAGGGTGGCTCTATTTTTAGCCCATGCAGCTCCTTAGATGGATGCCCGGTCTATTTCCACGAGGCAGCTCAGATAACCTCAAGGCTTTCTCTGCATTCCAACTTCGAAGCCACACAGAGCATGCTTGGAACAGGGAAGAGGTGTTCATTGTCCGAGCCAAGCTGACCGGTGGTTGCCATAGGTGAAGGGGAAAGAGTCGTCGCACCGGGGACACTGAGTTTATGTCCCGGTGGAAGAACAATCTGAGAAAGGGTTCAGTTAGGGGCTTGGCAGCGTGAAGAGCGTAATCAATGACACGGACTTCTACAAGGAGAAGTGGTGGATTGGAGAATGTTCTGTTGTGTGTATTTCTGCCACAACTAGGAAAACAAATAATCACATGAATAACAATGACTGCCAGGAAGAAGATAATGTTCCAGAATTGAATATGATAACAACTGTACAACTGCTCTTGTTCTGATTGAAGTATTGAATTGTATGACATATGGATTAAATACTAATAAAAATGTTTTAAAAAAAATAAACTTCACTGCTGCTGCTTCAAAAATAAATAAATAAAAGAGAAAGCCTGCCAGGTAACCGGGCAGGGCATGCTTTATTGCCTATGGTGGATTTCCTTGACTTTTCTCTCCAAAAGTTTAGGCTTTTTGGCTGGTAACTGTATGGTTATAAGGATGTATACCTCCCTAGGGAATAAGGACTCGGTCTAACAATACACTTTGAGAGCTGGGACAAGGACAACAAGAGGTCCTCAACATCCAGAGTCAGGTGTTTGGCTAGGTTTCCATAGAGCCTGGACCAGCATGCATGCAGGTCTCTGTTCTCAGCAGCAGAAGCCAAGGGCCTTCCACGCTGATGCTGACTGTTCCTCCAGAGCTATGCCGCCCGTGGGGAAGACCGCCAGGCTCCACAGATGTGTTTGTCAAGTTACTTGCTTCTAATCTCAAAGCCATTCGCTGAAACCTCAGCACTAGTAACCCTGAGCCAGAGGCCCTGCATGGTGTAAATGGCCCATGTCCTCGGGTGGCTGTTAACCGAAAGACAAAAGAGAGATTAGAGCCCATTTGAAGGTGACTCAAAAAAAAAGGCCTGGTCCCCTACTTCCAAAAGACCAGTCGTTGAAAACTAGATGGCGCCCACTTTTACGCTGACACCCAAGGGGGCGTGTTGAGTTAGAGTCGAATCGATAAGCAGCTCGTCTTACCTGAGACAGGTAAAGTTGTCATTGGATAGACAAGAATGAGGTTTCAGGCAGATTTAGACTGTCAGCTGCTGCAGCTGGTGGACAGACACCTTAGACTCATCAGCACATCTGCTGGTTATTTTCTCCCTCTGGGCTTCCAGGCCGAGCTGCTGCTTCTGCCCTGAGAATCCCTCGGATCCCAGTGTTTGTGACGGGTTCTACAGAAAATGCTGTCCCCTGGTGGCTGGTCTGAGGTCAGACTTGTGTCCTTCCAGCTAACTGTGCCACTTCTACCATGAGGTTCAAGTACAAAGCTTGTTTGTGTGTCATTTAAAGCTTCCCTTCGAGAAATGTTCCATTAACTTAAACTTCCCAGGTTACCCCACTCCCCCAAGCACAGCGGCCAGAGTTGGCCCTGCCTGCCATGTCCACGGGTCTGCTTGAGGCCCAGGCTCTGGGAAGAACCGCTCAGAGCGAATGGCCTCTCCCGGGCTCAATCACAGACTCTTCACGTGGCTCATTTCTTCCCTGTAATTGCTGGGGGGCTGCAGATGGTTTGTGAGCTACAAGCTCGGACATTGGAGTCACCCCAAAGGGATCGCGAAGAAAAGTCTGATGATCTACTTCTGGAAAAATCAGCCGTTGAGACCCTGGGGTGCACGGCTGTACCCTGACATGCATAGGGTTGCCATGAGTCAGGAGACACTCGGAAGCAACCGGCGGGTGGTCTCTGTCGGGGTCCTCACATGCCAAAGCCTGGCTGATGTCCTCTATCCCAGCTTCTTTCCTTCCTTGAAAAACTCACTGCCATCGAGGCCATGCTGCCCCACAGCGACCTTGGAGGGCAGGGTAGAACTGCCCGGGGCTCTCCGAGAGGATAACTCGTTAACACGAGTAGAAAGCCCTGTTTGTTTTCCTGAGGAGCGGCAGGTCGATTCGAACTGCCAACCTCGCAGTGAGCAGACCCACGCATCAACACTACAGCACCAGGGCTCCCTTCCTTCATGGACTACCAAAACCAAACCTAACCAAAACCAAACACCTCACAAATGAGTCTCCCTCCTCTGGTTTCTTTATGGGCCAGCCAAGGATAAGCGGGTGGACCTTCAGGGTAAGCGGTGAAGCTTTGGGGGATAGTTGATCGTCATAAAGGTGGTCAGGGGCAAGCGTCACATCTCCTGCCGATGACTTTTCAAAGTCTTGTGGCCAGGAATGCCAATGGTAGGTGAAGCCTTCAGCGACGATGGTCAGCGACCGCCTCAGGTTAGGTTATGCACAGGGGAACTCGGTGCAGTCCACCACCATCTAGCGATCCTGGCCCAAGAGCCTTTGGGCTCTTCTCCTGCTCTCATCTGAAAGGCCGAATTCTGGGCATAAAATGACCTCCTGGGCTTTCATGCATCCTCACAAGCAGGTGGGAAGCCTAACATCCACTCATCACCAAAGCTGTCAGAAGACCTTGTGAGAACTGAGACCCGGCCTTACCCGCACAGAGACCTTCCTGTCATGGGGGGCTCTCCCACGCCTGCTGAGGGCCAAAGGCTCATCTAGCCCTTAATAATCATTTTTAAAGGAACTTTACTTTCAAAAATAATTTATTTGAATATTTTATGCCAAAATAATTCTAAAAAGTATTCATTTCTCTTTCATTTCCCCCAACCCAAGGTGCATTTAACTACATGAACACGACAATTATTTCATAGTTGTTTTTATTATAGACTTTTTTTTATCCACATGAATGTTAAAGAAACTACAACAGTTAAATACCATTTTCGATAACATGATTATATTCTTAATTACACTCAATATTAAATTGTAAAATATTTCCAGTGGAATACAATCTTCCTTCAGACAGCAGGCAAAGTACCAGAGAGGAAGGGGCCATCTGCATGTTTGTTTGTCCGGTTTGCTATGAAGAGCAGCCTTGTGGCTGATACCTTCCCGTGGGTCCAAATGGGATCCCCACTTCCAGGGCAAGTCTTGTGTTTGCTTCCCACCGAGGCTCGCGTCTTTAAAGGGAAAGCCAGTCTTGAATCGGTGCCCTTTCTGTGTCCACAGCATTGAAGTCTCCCGGGGCCGTCCGTGGGTCCCCCGCACTGGTGGGCGAACAACATTCCCCACGCTCTGGGTTCAGTTGGCCTTCTAAAAACACAGACTCACACTTTGGTTTCCACCAAAAGACGCGACAAGCAGTGATGGCTCTGGCTGGCTCCCCCCTCCCCCCACTAATAAATGGCTGCTACAGTCTATTTTACATGGTTGTCCATGCTGCTTTGAGGTCACTTGTCCTTGGGGGTCTCCTGAACCTGATTTTGCATCGGATGCCCACGCCCTCTCCGTTTGCAGTCTCTAGGCGGGTCCCAAGTACTCTGTGGCAGGCTGTATCTTACACGCGGCAGGGCTCTGTGCACCTGGGGCAAGGCAAAAGGTGACGCGTGACAATCTGAGCACTCAGAGCATTGGAAGACATCAAAAGACACGTCAACGATTTCCTGTATATATTTAAAACAAGACATGTAAAGTACAGGTTCCAGTGATTGTGCTAGGAAAGCCTCTTCTCTCATTTGGGTTCGTGCAATCTGACGTTGAACCAAACAACAATTACTAAACCACAGTGTGTGCTGGTGCGCCACGCCTCCTTTGTCTGGGTTCTAGAAGCTCTGCTCGATCGTTGGGCAGATGCTAAGACAACCTGCGTTGAAAGGGGTGGACAGACATGCATGCTCTTGTGCCCTGGTGGCTGTGGTTGAAATGCTCCAAGTCTCATCTATTTCTCGTGTCCTGAGGTGGTGGAAGGACAGCCATAGGGTTGGAGGGTTTTCAGGTCAAAAACCACAAAGCCATCAGATGAGTTATTAACTGCGTGTTTGTGACAGATAGTGGAAGATCTGAAGGAGGCGACCGTCTGGGAGGAGAGGAGAGCAGGCCAGGTGTGGACTTGACGAGCCCCAGCCTGCCTCTTCCCATCCGTCAGGCCACAGGCCACTTGCTCATCCCCCGCATTTCCGTCTTCTCAATGGTAAGGGCTGGGAAGTGGCAGTGCTTATCTCAAGGGGTAGTTTGAGGATTCAATAAAGTGCTGAGAACAGGTCGGGCACATTGTGCTAGCAACCGTTAGCTGCCATTCTCTATGGAGACTCTCGGAAGCGTCCAGACCTCTTAAGTCTGCTAAAGATGGAGGAAATGGATACATGCAAGGCTGGACCCTTGATCCATTCAAAAAGAAGGTACACGATGTTCCAGTACAGTCCCTCCACATGCCTTCAAGATCTTTTTTCTTGCTACTCTTTTTAAAGCAATTATTCTAGAAGTGAACAGAAAATGAAGCATTTACCAAAGAAGTAGACGTTGTTGAGTTAACATGGGGGTGGGGGTGGGGATCAACCTCTTGGACTCCCCAGAAAGATGACAAAGAGCAGCAACCTGTGTTAGGAAGATGCAGACGTACGGCACACACTGTGGGTCATGTCCTTGGGCGTTAGCTATGTGCCAGAGCTGCGTTAATGACAGCGGCTGCTTTGTGACAGTAGATGGAGCACTGGCACACAGCGTGATGACCGTCAAGTGTTGGAACCGGAAGAGTCCTCGGTCAGATTTAGCTCCCCTCTTTCTAAAGACCAGAGTGAGACTCAAAGAGATGACATGATTTTACTCAAGCTAAGAGGCACAGGAAGTATCAGATTCAGAAGCCAGGCTCACCACCCAGGAAATAGAGTTGGGGTGCTAGAATGACACAGAACTGGATTGAACCCAGCTCTGTCAATTGCTAGCTAAGAGACTTAGTTTTCTCATGTACAAAGTGGCGACAATAGCGGCTCTCCTTTTATAGAGTTGAAATGATCCAATGAAAGAAGGCAGTACAGAATGTAGCCCAGAACTGGGCAGTTAGTTAGAGCGCAATAAACGATCCCCATCCCCACGCCCACTGCCACTGAGCCGGAGTCCAACCCACAGCGACCTTCTAGTGAGCGCAGCGGAGAACCGCTCTCCTTAGAGTTACTGAGACGAAATCTTAGGAGCAGGCAGCCTCATGTCTCTCCCTCAGAGCAGCTGGTGGGTTTGAGCCAGGGACCTTGCAGTTAGTAGCCCATTGCTTAACTCACTGCCTCCCAGAGGCACCTTCAATAAATGATAGTTTGGGTTTAGTTGAGATTTTTTCCAGCTTGGTCAACACATTTCTGTACGACTTGTTGTTTCATATGCTTTCGGGTCTATGCCGACTCATGGAGATGGCACGTGACCAAGTAGGATTGTCACCTCGAGCTTTCTTGGCACTAGGGCGGCTAACCACAGGTTGACAGTTTGAGACTACCAGGCGCTCCCTGGGAGAAAGACAAAGCTTTCTACCCCCATAAAGAGTTACGGTCTCAGAAACCCGCAGAGGCAGTTCTGCCCAGTCGTACAGGTCGCTGTGAGTCAGAGAGAACTCCGTGGCAGTGAAGGGAGGGTGGCTTTAATCTCTTACAGGAGCAGACTGCCAGGTTACTCCCCCCTGGAGCCGCTGGCTGGGCTCAACCCTCCAACCATTTGCTTAGCAACTGAACACTTAACCATTTCGAACCCAGGGCTTGTTTTCTAGATAACTAGCAGCCAGTCAGTGCCCAGGGACTTGCTTTCCACGCATGTAGACGGATTTGACTCTCTGGGAATGCCATCGGAGCTTCATGGATGTTGCCTGAATACCTGTGGTCACATGGATGACGTGTGTATAAGGTTTAAAGGTGCCTGGAAGAAAATGAAGGTAAAGTAATAAATAAGTTCGTGTGGGCATCGTTTCATTTTAATTTGGGGTGCAGATTTCACAGGGCTGTTTGTGCAGGAGCTGGGTCACAGGAATCACAGGAGGAAAGGGAGGCCATTAGGGATAATTCTGCTATTAGGAACATCCCAGGAAAAAGGAGAACATGGGGCTAGACCAGAGGATGGACACTGGTACAGACAGGAACTGGAAACACAGGGAATCCAGGACAGACGATCCCTTCAGGACAGTGGTGAGAGTGGCGATACTGGGAGGGTGGAGGAAGGGTAAGGTGGAAAGGGGGAAGCGATTACAAGGATCTACATATAACCTCCTCCCTGGGGACGGACAACAGAAAAGTGGGCGAAGGGAGGCGTCGGACAGTGCAAGATATGACAAAATAATAATTTATAAATTATCAAGGGCTCATGAGTGAGGGGGGAGCAGGGAGGGAGGGGGAAAATGAGGAGCTGATGCCAGGGGCTTAAGTGGAGAGCAAATGTTTTGAGAATGATGAGGGCAATGAATGTACAAATGTGCTTTACACAATTGATGTGTGTATGGATTGTGATAAGGGTTGTATGAGCCCCAATAAAATGATTTTACAAAAAGAAAAAGGAGAATATGAGCAGCACTTAGAAGCGTGTTTCAAATAGGTTCCATTGTACCGCCAAGCTCACACTGAAACAAACAAAAAACCCCACAACAGCGGAGCGCCTAATCTAATAGGGCTTGTTTTAGAAGGCGCTTTGAAGATAAATAAAATAAAGTACGAGTTACCCAGCTGGTAGCTAAGCAAACAGAATGCACGGCCCAATGGAGACTTGCCGAGGTGGAGGAGAGGTTTAGATAAACTCACAGATGATGCCTCTTTATGGAGTTATTAAGGGAAAGTTTAGCGTATTCAATGTATATAAGTTTGGAAGCTGATAGCATTAGGGACGATTTCACTCTTTTAAAGAAACTGCATGGCTGGGATCTTGGTCAGAGGAACTGTCATGGCATAGTGAGTTACACGATGGGCTGCTAACCACAGGGTCAGCAGTTCGAATCCACCAGCTGCTCCATAGGAGAAAGATGAGTCTTTCTACTCCTGTAAGATTTACAGTCTCAGAAACCCACAGGGGCAGTTCTGTTCTGTCTGATAGGGTGGCTGAGAGTTGGAACCGACTCAATGGCAGCGAGTTAGGAGTTTTGGAGTGTCTTGGTTGGGGCCGACCTTTATTTTTTTACTCACCATGGAATTTATGTCCTCATGTAAGGCCAAAAAAAAAATCTGTAGCGCAGTGATATGTGGCAGTACTTACTCAGCTTATTAAGTGGATTGCCTGTGGTTTTGAAAAGCTTCCTCCTCGTAATAGTCATATTGGAATCCACTGGGTGGCACTACCTTAGGGGTCACTGGGGCACAAGACGTTAATGCATCAGTCCCTAATTTGGAAACCTGTGGTCACTCAGCAAGACGGAATGTGTCTCGCTGTCTGGTGTAATGATTTTATCTGTGTAATCTCTCTCGGGGTAACTCCTCGCAGGCTTGGCATGTTGCGAATCAGAGCCTGTCTCTAACAATAGGGTTGTGATTCTCTGCTTGGCTGATTTAGCTAAGCATTTAAGTAACCACTAATCTTCCAAAAGCACCAGGGTCTACTTAGAGAAATCCCCGTTGTCTGCAAGGATGGAAACAAAATCAGCATGGAGGAAGCATGGGTTACTAAGCACCGATCCGTCTTGTTGGCTTCCACCTCGCCCTAGTCGATGCCACTCTCCGAGGCGGGGCTGCTGGGCAGCAAGGCTTCATTCTGCAGGTGCGAGAGTGACTTCGCGGACAAGCAGAGAAGGTGCGTGGGGGGAAGTGGAGAGTAAGAGTATAGATCACACCACCTCCTAAGGAATGGATCTTGCAAACCCTTGGGAGGGGCAGGCATGAGACACTAGAGAGCATGCCATACGATGCCATTAGTGTAAAGTTCAAAAAGAGGAGAAGCGCATCTCCGCTCAGTGTTGGAGGGTGGTGTGTAGCCGCTGGGAAGAGACAGCAGGTGGGTGGACATCGGGGCTGGAAACACCAGTGGGTTCTCTTGGGGGAAATCCATGGAGCCGAAGGCCCTCGTGGTTCGCAGCCCTATCCGGGTATGTATTATATTCTTCAGTAAAAAGGGAGGGGGGTGTATGGGGAAAAAGGCATCCTCCTAGTTTTCTCTTTGGGTTCCAAAGAAAATTAGCTTGGCAGTTCAAAAGATCATGAAATTTATTGGCACTAATTGGGATTAGTCCTGCCTCGATGGCCCTGATATTGTGAGTTAAGATTTCCCGGAGTTTAAATGTTCTAAAACTCATCTGTTTGCTCTGCTGGAGCCAAGTGGAATGTGAGAAAGAAATCTCCCCAAGTGATAAAGAAATCTCCCAAGTGACCTTCAGATTTGAAGAAAAATACTTCAAATGTACAGGATTGTAGATGTAGGTTCAACGGCTTCTGACTTCACAGAGGCGGGTCCGGGCCCCCCTCTGCTACGGAAACATCTGTTCCTGGGGGATGGGAAGCCCATGCCTTAGCAGGCCCTGGATCTAAACTCAGGAACCTCAGAATCTCCTCCTGGGTTTGCAGCATGGACCACACACCCAACAACGTTCCCCCTCTCTCCCTGTGTATAAACCTTCAGGCAGGCATCTGGGCGAGTGACTGCTTTGGAAGGGGTTTAAACTCCTGATAAACCATGACATACTCATTAGCCGTATAGACTGAAGATTGCTACTAACAAAGATGGTGGCAAGAATCGGGATTTCCATCTGCCTCTCTCTTCTGCATGGAGGGAAGCAAAGGAACCATGAGCCCGCAGTGCAGGGAGTCCCTCGGTCAAGAAACCCTCCCGAGCTGAAACTGTGTTCCAGGAGGAGTGGGAAGAATCGTTCTGATGGAAACAGATCAAACTGACACTTGGTTCCTGTCCGCCTTGGCCATGAGCACTAACAAATGCTGCCTCTGACATCTGAGTTTTCCCTGATTTAGCAGCTCCTACTGTTAGGGCATCCTAATGCACTATTACAGAAATCACAATGTCCTGTATCCTGCGTTTCCTCGATGCTAGTATATATAGGTACAGATATTCATATGCACATGTGAACATCTTCTTCCACATAATCAAAAAGTTGATTTTGCAATACTGACAGACTTTCTAAATCTGTTCATTGAAATTTTCACTGTTTTCTTTTCCCTTAAGATTCCAGAATATTTGTCTTTTCAATTGTTGCCAGGGATGTGGCCTTGAACCTGGCGTCAACTGTAGACAGATCATTGTTGGTTTGGGGAAATAATGAGTTATTATCACTACAGCAGGGGTCCACGGTCTGCGTGGCCCCCAATGGTTCATGTTCCTATCAGGGAGCAACTGGGAGTCAGTTTGGGAGGGTCAGTTTTGGAGAGGATGAAGTATGTAATTAGCATGATTTTCTGGCCATTCCATTTGCTTTAGAAACATAATAATGGGGTGTTGAGAGACCCTGTGTGGTACAAGTGATTAATGTGCTCAGCTGCTAAGTGGACAGTCTGAGGTCCCTGTTCACCTAGTGGTACCTTTGGAAGAAAGTGCTGATGATCGCAGTCCAAAAAATTAACCACTGAAAAGCTGTGAAGTACAGTTTTGTCTACACACACACACACACACACACACACACACACACACACACACACGGCCACTGGGAGTCACAGCGAGCACTCCAGCAAAGAGTTCAACCAGGTAGAACCAAAAAGAGCAGAAAGACTCAAAAACAGAATAGAAATCACTTCTGAAGGACAGATTTTCTGCGTTTTACGAATTTTTCCAGGGGACTGGTAGCCAGTCCGTTAGGAAGCCCCATCCCCAGGTGGAAACTCAGGATGCCATTTTACCAAGCCCTTGGGCTGTTTCAACCACATTGATTAAAACAAAAAGAACAACACATGATCAAGCGTAACAGTTCAGAAAGTTAAGAAAACCTGTGCTCGGGTCATCTCACCTTTTAGCTCTTGCTGAGATGGGCACCAAGCTTCTCTTTCCTGATCAGGCTTGCTGCATAGGGGATCTGTAAGACAAGCACAAGCAGGAGCCCGTCAGCCAACCCTGGGGACACAGTGTAATGCAGACTCTTCATCACACTCAGCAGTCTGAGGGCTGATGACTCCTTGGCAGGGACAGAGGTCGCCATCAGCTGCTCGGCAGTGTGGGTTTCTGGGACCTGTGAAGACGGACACTGAGGTGCCCGGCTATCAGAAAGCACAGCCATCTAAGTGAGGGGCCAGCTAAGTCCACAGGAAGAACCACACCAGCTGGTGTGATCCAAGGATGGTCAATGATAAAATTCAAGGCGGGAGGAGGGAGTAGAGCTTAAATTCTAAGCACCCGGTTTTCAGAAGGTTATGGACGACGGTGGAAGCTCAAAATCTATTTGCTGGGTCCCCACATGGATTGAGCCTCTGGTGAGTCTCCTCTGACCCTTGATGAGGGAGGTGAAAAGTGTGCAATCAGACAGAGTGCGCTGGAAAGTTGATTAAGGTAGATGCAGTTAGGTTAAAATATAATACCTTATCATGTGTTCTCCTGTTTGACCCATTTTATATCTGTTCTGATATTTAATATTTTCTGATTTCTTTTTGATTGAGATTTTTCCTGTGTTATTGTTGTTCTGTTTTGTATGTCTTTCTGTATATGAAATCCAGGATAGATGAATCTGTAGAGGATCTATATATCCACAGCTAGTCCCTGATGGTGATAGGTGACATTTCACCATTTAAAACAAAACAAAACAATAAAACACTAAAAAAAACCTACAGTACATAGGAGTGTTAGTTTTCATTCTGATATTAAAACTGAGCTATGAGGTTAATTGTTATAAGTTCAAGGTCGCCCAACAAGAATGTGATTACAAACTAGTCCAGCATAGTCTTCTATTTTATTACAGTGATTTCTTCATGCAATCAGCTACTGTTATAAATTGCAACTAAGACAAAACACAGATGATCACACTGGGTGACGTTCCAGCGAGTAGAAAGGAGGATCAGAAATAACTGCTCCGAGTGGAAAATCCGGCCCTGGAGAATTCGACCGGGATAACTTGAGAAGTACGTCTGAATATTGGGGCTTGGGATGAAAAGCTACCGCTAGAAAACTCACATGATGGGCACTGGGACATGTATTATTTATCTGTGCCTCTCCACTAACCCCAGTTAAGGTGCTCTTGTGATTGTATTACCTGCCTCCATCGATAGAAGGCTACATTCTGGGCTCTAAAGATTGGACTCGATCGTACATCGAACGATCTTCCGTTCACAGAAAGAAACGACTCAGCCCTCTGGAATGTAACTTGGAATTCGGCCGTCATGCAGTAGCTTGGGAGGAGAGGCAATGATTCATTATAATCAGGCAGCATCTTTGACCGCTGTTCTATGCATCCCCCACGGGTCCTGCAGGCTGCCATACTGTCTGTCATACCCCCACCGGTCCAGGAATATGAACCTATATTCAAATGGGAAGAGCTCTAAATCTATAATGCCAGTGAGTAAGATGAGTTGGACCATTTGACCATAATAACCATTCAGTTGAATCTGATTGGTCTTTTTAATGAAGGGGGAGGGGCGAGAAGGTCTAAACTATGCGTTGTTCTGTTTGGATCCTCAGCCACAGCCTGGGTGGAGCGAGGAGCACACCCAGGGCACAGCAAGGAGCAAGGGAATGAATGATTCATACCGTGCATGAAAAGCCCCGTGTCCTAATCTCTTATTTTAGACCGTGGGCTGAGATCAGCTAGATAACTATGACAAGAACCGTCACACGGGGATCTACTCTAGTTACCCGGTCTTTTCACTCCAGGTCATGCTACACCTGCTATGAACGAGATGCCTGTGAACCTTGGTTTTCCGTGATGGTGTATGCTGCAATGCCAAGGCACTTGGTTCACCTTTCTCTCTAGGTGTGTGGTGTAACAGAACCTAGAATGGATGCCTACTACTTAGGGCAACCAGTGACACTGATATAAACTCCAGGGCAGGAAGGGTGACCAGGGAAAGGCCTTTGTGCCACTCTCTCTTTTAGAGAGAGCCATCAACGTCAAGATGAGGTGCCACAAGGGTTTACGTGCGGTGTCCGTTCTGTGCTAGAGACTAGAGAGAGTAGGTATTCCCAAGTGCTATCTCATCAAAGTGTTGAAACGGATTCATCTTAACTCAAAGAAAACTTCTTTACTGGAAGACAAAGACCTTTGGCTGCGTCAGAATCCTGGCCTTGCTCCACCCTGCAACAATACCGTAGCATCCCACATTGGGGTGGGAAGCTGAGAAGGAAAAGCAGATAAAAATCAGAAGCTGAGGGAAAAGACATTCCTAAATAAGCTCATTCCATCCCCAAACTACCAGATAAGAATTTAAACCCATGGGTGGAATTAACCCACTCCAGCATTGACTGTTGTGTTTATCTTACTAAAACTTAACAAAATAAAGCCTAAACACCCACAACACAAAGACAAAAGAGCAAAGAGTTGTGAGCAGAGGAATATATGTACATATTCCTCTCTCTCTCTCTCTATATATATATATATATATATATATATATTCTATAGGAATCTATAGAATATATGTATATTCTATAGGAATCTATAGATATAGGTATATAGATGTGATGAAAATATTTCACCCTTTCAGACAATAAACACAAGCATCCTTTCAATTAGGTTCAGTGGCTATAGTAAGAAGCAGCCAGCAGTAAATAAAATCTGCAGTGATGATGTTCCACTGTGTTCAGCTTTAACTTAACGTATCTGTCCGGCTAAACTGGATAATTGTACAATGATATAGTGCTAATTCCAATTCATGGACAATAAATAAAGACGATATTAGCCCATCGCTTAATTGCTCATGAAATTGACCTTATTCCAGTAATTCTAAGATGTCTCCTCCCTCCTCCCTGCCCATCACATTGAAATCTTCTTGAAACCGATGTGTCTTATAATTGATGATATCTTAGAAAAATAGCTGGAAGCTTTGTTTCCGTTGACACATCAAATAATGGGCCTCTTAACCATTGGTGGTGCCTCCGATTCCGTGAAATGTAAAACTGGGGACTTGGGAGGCACCACTCATGTTAATTACATTCCACGCACATGCCTACAGTGAGACTTACAAGAGTTTTCCCTTCGTTTTAAGGAGCATGGCGGTCACCGAGGCAGGCATAGGGGAAAAGCAATCCAAGGGTTGTGTTGTCGTTCAGTGTCATGGGGTTGGTTCAGACTCTGGGACCCCATGCACCACACAGAGAAACACAGCCTGGTCCTGCACCCCCCTCACCACTGTCCTTATGTTGGGACATTTGCGCAGTTGGTGCCAGCAGATCCAAAGTATCGGGATCTTTTCAGAGACAATAACCTCCTATCTTGTGCCAAGAGAGGGCTGCATGGGCTCAGACATCCAGGTGGGGTCAGGCTCTCAACAGGAGCGAGGAGCAGAAGAAAGCCCAGACCACCGAGAGACGACTAACTGCATGGTTCAGGTGCACGACACTAGATGGATCACTGGAAAGAGATGACCTAGCCTCAAAGTCTGTCAACTGCTGC